CTTCCAGAGCGTGGTGCATCTTTGACATCAAAATTACCGGAACGGAATCGACGAAACCAAAGTTGCGCGTGATTGGCTGTTACAGTATTAGGACCATAAACACTATTCACATTTTCAGCCGCCTGGCTTGCGTTTTCGCCTTTATCGAAGAAAAACTGTAAAATATGGCGTATTTTCTCTTTGCTGGTGTCCATCTTTGACGCGCGCTCAAACAATACTGAGTCAAACAATCACAAAACTGTCTGAGAAGTTTTTTTAGTACGAAATCTTATCTTTCTAACGCCATCTAGCGTAAACCGATCGCACTTATGCAACGCGAGATACACATTACTAAAGCCATCTATTAGAAAAATAATGGATTTCTTTTTACTACACCTTATACAATATTAATGTCGGCATTTGAAATTATAAAGACGAAGAAATACTGAAATTCAAAATAGTATTATAAGTAGGTCAATGTTATATAAATATATCAATATAAAGATATCGAATTTATTTGTACTCTTCGTAATATTATACGAAGTAAACAATTAAATGCTGTGATGATAGATCGTTGTAGATAAACGCGATATTGTATTGTAATGTATCTTACCTAAAAATGAACGTTTCATTGAATATAGGATTTAAATTCTTCCGATGTACTTTCGTCTGAAACTTCTTCTTTCTATCTGGCAACAGATATACTTTTATATATGGGTCGCTGCTGCCTGTAACATCTTTTATTGGTAATTCTCGAGCTTGCAGAACCTAAAAAAGATTAAACGCGATATAGCAATCAAACAAAAACAGAATAACATAAAGTGTAATATTGTTTTTCAAGAGAAATCGAAAAACATTATTAATATAATTTACATTCAAATACGCAGTTATTAGCGAAAATAATTGTCAAATGTGTTACATAATCATAAGCATCGTGTAATTACTGCAAGACTGTAATTACCAAACTCTCTTAATAAATGTGCGCAAAGTTGCAAAATCAGTGTTCTTGCATTTATATAAAAAAATTCTGCATTTTTGCATTTCTGCAAAGAATTACGCAATACAATAGCGAATAATATAGAAAGAAACGATAAATATTTCATATATTATATTTATACGTTATGTAAAATGTAGATTGCAAGTATTTTTCCTGTTCAATTGTTTTACTATTATGAAATAATTCAATTGTTAAATTGTTTTACTAGTATGAAATAATTTTACTATTATTTATTTCATTATTGGCGTTATCTTTCTCCATTAAATTATTTACTTTTAGAGCTATAGATATATGTTTAATTTGTAACGGGGTCATCTCGATGCAGTGCCTAGATCAGCTCGCCGGAGACCAGGTGTTGGGAGCAGAGCTCTCAGTTTTGTTACATTTACAGCACGCTGGCAGC